AACAACAACTCAAGCAACAAACAATATGTCTGCAGCAATCAACAACATGTCAATGCAATATGACTGCAACAACAACAGCAATAAACATAACAACAGTTACATTGCCGCAACAAATCAAACACTTCTGCAGCAGAGCAGCTTACAACACACTTCACTCCTGCAACACTGGTCCACCATACAGCAAAAATCCAAAGTATCACCCTCGCGTCGCATCAAGAACCTGCTGAAACCGCTATTGGGACGCGTCTTCAAGTCGCGCACGAAAAGCCAACAGAAACGCAACTCTTACATCGCTGCCTCGCCGAATGGCGAACGCGATGCCGATTTCGAGTGGCTCGCCAACGAGATGGACAATCGTGCCAATGAAGATCTCGAGCAGCGGCTTGTCGAGGAGATGCACATGTGCGAGGATGGCGCGGCTATCGTTGTCTACAACGCAGACGGCACGCCTCGCCTGCAGACAGTGGAGAAGGATGAATTCTATGTACCCGTGCATTTTGCGCGCACCAATGCCGGCACCTTCTTCTGGACCTCGCTGCAACGTCAGACCATCGAACGGTACAATATCCAGTGGAACTTTATGGATCGTTGGGGGCAAGCATAGGCCGCTTTGCTGATGTTGTAATAATTTAAGCTGAGACACTGAAGTTGTAGGATATTGAAATTACGTTCGGGTTTAATGCAGAAAAGGGATTTTCAACGGCTACCGGCGTCTGCCAAGCGGCACTCGCGCGCACGCTGCAAGCAGCAAGGTTTGGTCACTGCGACCTTGTGGAAAGCACGCGTAGACGGGAAATTTTGGCATCAAATGGGCATTAGTAAGCGCTGGAGTAGCGGTTGTGACGCAAGAATAGACAGTGAGAAATTGTAAAAATGCTGTTAGGAAATACAGCTGCTTTTCGCAAGAAAAATAGCGAGCTATTTTCTGTATGCATTTGTTAGGAAATTGAAAGAAGTAATTTTGTTAATTTTTTGTTAAGGAAAAAAATTATTAAAAGTTGTATATGAGTAGAGCTCCTGTTTTTGTACAAAATAAAGGCTGAGGGTCAATCAAGTATTAAAACTTGAAGAATATTTGCATTTTTATGGCAAAAAATTGTAAAAATATTAAATTTACTTATTTCTCAAAAATTATGCAATTAAAAAAATTTAATAAAAAATCTTAAAAAAAAAACTAAAATTTACTCTCTATTCATTTATTATGTATTGGGATAATTAGAATTTTGAAATGAGGATTAGTGAGTTTTCATAAACGTACATATATATACAGTATGTATATTTCAACTGCTCGGTTGCTGCAGTCGCAATTTCGGTAATAATATTCAAAAAACAAGTCACAAATAATTAAACTATTTTCAGCAAAAAAATTACAAAATCTAAAAGACTTTTTCTCTCATTATTATTTTTTTTTTACTTACAATATTTAATAATATTATTTTTTTTATGACAGTTAAGCCAGAATAGTAGCCTCAAAATTAGTTTTTCTTAATAGTTCAGACCCAAAAGATTACAATTCAAATATTTATAAATATATTTATTACCTTAATATATTAAAAAAAATAACATGTTTTGGATTTTTCATTTTTTTTTT